TAGAACTAAAACGATTAAATATTAGTTGTCATCAGTGCAAAACCTATAGCTTTTTATTTTCTTTTTAAATACTTTTAAGGATCGTTCTTCTTTTAATGACTGAGGCAGAGAATTCCAAAGCCAGACTCCAGTAAAAGCAAAACTATTTCTGAAATAGTCAGTTCTGGCTTTTGGAATTTGTAAATTTTTAGAAGAACGCCTTAAGTTGTAAGATTGAGTACCAATCTGGCTGGAAAACATATCTTTTAAATAAGATGGGACGATATCGTTGACGATTTTGAACATCATAATGGCCTTTTGTTGCAGTCTATGTTCATTTAAAGGTATCCATTTGAGTTCATTAAAAATACGGTGCACCAGTAATCATACGGGCTGCACGGTTTTGTAGTTTTTGTAACTTGCTAGTTAAAGTTTCGTCGATATTGTCCCAAACTAAACAGCAATAGTTAAAGTAAGGCTCRATTATGTTCTTATAGATTTTGATTAGATAGGGCCTACTTAAAATTGGCTTAATTTTCTTTAACGTGCTTAAGTTACATGCAATCTTCTTTTTAATATGCTCAAAAATGGATGGATGTGTGGGTGGATGGGTGGATGGATGGATAAATGATATTTAAAATAAATTGAATTCATTTTTGAAAATAATTCACAGTACCACATAAGAACTTAAAAAGCTTTTACCACAGATAGTAGAAYATACAAAAGAACAGCATGTAACTGTACTAACAACTATATACACAATAAACCATACGTAAATATAGTGCCCAAATGGCGTACGATTACGTTGAAACGATATAAAACACACTCGAAGCAGCAGATGAATGCATAGTTTGTAGACATTTAAGTCTTAACGAAGTCTTTGAAGAAAAGTTTGGAAATTTATAAAGAGTAACTATAAAGTATACCTTTGAATTCGTCTTGAATGGCCTGTTTTAGCCGCTCCACAAGCAAAATACTCTCCATCACAACAGAAAAGAGCACTTCTAAAACTTCAAAATACCAATATTCTTCATCTTAAAGCAAAATAACATGAAATAAGGCGTTTAAAATTAAATTTGGGATCAAAAATTCCCGCGCATCAATTTGACCGCCATTTTTGTTTATCACATGGAGAGAGCCTGGGAACTATTACCCAGGCTCCTTTGCCATCGCAAACAAGATTGGAATGGGGGGAGGGGAGGGGTGGGTTACAGTTTTTTAGAACTCTTTTTTCATGTTTTTTAAACTATGAACAACATCAAGATGAAGCACAGAGGGATGAGAATGTAGAATATAGGATGGTATATGACCTCACCGAAACCTAGTTCGGGCAGCATTTGATATTTGAGACTTTTTAAAATAAGCATTCATCTAAACTTGCTTAAACACAGTAGTTGTACTAACATTAGTATGATATGTATTTTGTGATGTGGATAATATTTTCTTTAAATTCACCTTGTGAGTACTAGCTGTCACGTGATATATATATGGTTGTCATGGGGACATGGCGAGATTCACCGCGGGCTCAATTTCAGGCTCGATGCGCATGCTCACGCCTCTGATCGGTCTAGTGTGGGCGCAAAACATTTTATCCTTTTTCATGTGCGGATGGAAAACTTTTTTTCGGAGTCGGTGTGAAAGTTTCGGATTCAAATTTGTCCGGCATAGTGTGGACGGGGCCTAAGTTTAAACCAAGACAATGCTTGTTGTTATGTGGTCCACATCATTTGTGCCGGGGGGGGCAATGCAGCTTCAGGGGCACACTTGCTGTCTTTGCAGTAATGGCAGCTTTGCGAGCCAAAAAATATTCCCACCCTCCATCCTCTGGGTTAGTTGTCAAAAGATGATGGAATGGTTCACAGAAAAGAAGGATTTCGTTAGTTAACTTGTCTAAGTTGATCTTCTCCCTTGGTGTTCTCTTCACAATATTAAATGATTGCAGGTACTGCCCTTTTGTAGGCCACAAAATAAACAGTTTTACGCTGTGCATGTTCCACTACTTGAGAATTTGAGTCTTGCGCCATCACGCAACGAAAGACTGGAAAGCACAGCTCTACTTTTCGCGGATCGATATTGCTTATATGAACTTATACAGGTTTATAAGCAACCCACTAGGAATATATCTTTTTTTCACTAAAAACATTGCCTTATTGTTGAATAAAAAAAAGTGCTCGATTCTAAAACACAATACGACATGATATCATTTAAATGCCTTATCGTATGAGTGGTAAACGTTTGGTACTGACATACAGCACGTACACGGTACGTCATCCCATAACATTGAAATGGCTTCCCATAAGAATGGTTATCGTATGAGTGGTAAACGTTTGGTACTGACTTACAGCAAGTACACGGTACGACATGCTGTAACATTGAAATGGCTTCCTATAAGAATGGTTATCGTATGAGTGGGAAACATACGGTACTGACTTACAACACGTACACGGTACGACATGCCGTAACATTGAAATGGCTTCCCATAAGAATCGAAATTTATATATACTTCATTTGTAATCATTTACGATAATAAACTCTTGTTGTTGGAAATATCCAACTATTTATTCATTTGTTCTAATTCTACATTTTCAATATCATAAAATAGAAAGAAGAAAAAAAACAATTATTAGTGTTTTGTTATATACCAAGAGTCAAAGAAAACAAAATCATTACTTGATGTTTTGATGTGAAAAAACTTAGAAAAATTACATTTCCGTGAAAATCACTTCCGGTATTGTTATTACTGGTCAATAACATATAGTGTTGCCCTCTGAGAGCCGTTGCTGGGGAAACATCGAAACTTGCTCACGTTCACGTGATACCCTTTCGACCAATCATAGGAAGAGAGAAAAGGACTTTGACATTTGGAATATAACAATCAACACTCACTTATTGCCTTCTAACAGACAACGCATTAAAACAAAGTGGTTATATTAATTGTCTATGATCTATTATCTGCTAAGCATCCGTGTTTTTCTTTATCATTTCTTGTTATATAATTCATCTTCTCACGGCTTGCGTGCTAATCCAAACGTAACTTGTGTAAGCATTTGCCCAAGAGAGAGGTACCGGGTAGCTCTTCATCTACTTTACATGTATCAGATCTACCCTTTATATATTCTAAACCGGTGGGAATTGCCCACGGTATTCTACAAAAGTTACGTTAATACTAAGTAAATAAAAGATATAGATAAAGATTATAAGGTATTGTTAAGATATAGATATCGTTAACATATGTACTTTTGACTTCAACTCTAATAGTTACGTTAATACTGAGTAATTAAAAGATATAGATAAAGATTATAAGGTATTGTTAAGATATAGATATAGTTAAGATATATAGTTTTGATTTTAACTCTAATAGTTGTGACTTCAATTTTAGGGTTCGTAACACTTGACATACTACAAGATCAAAAAATAAAAAGGGATTCCAATACATTGTGCAGCCAATAAAATGTTAGTATTCTCAGCCTAATTTTAACGTGTTTTTATATTTGTAGTCTATAACATGTCCACTCATTCGTTATCTGCTTTATCATTCGAAGTGTTTCTCATCTCGTTCATAGTCAGCTGTAGACTCGTACTGGCACTTTTATCATTTTTCAGATTGCCATAAAACGATGTCATAAAGTCGAGTGTTGCATCGTCATCGATGGCCCACAGAGACGCTACCACTGCACGAGCACCTGACACGAGAAAGGCTCGACACACATTAACTCACATGCTAACATGTTGACTTGTCCAGGGCACGGTAAAATCACCTGATCCTACACGTTATCTTATATTTAGATTTGATGATACGAATGTATGAGCAGCTGAAAATACAGTATATTAGTTGTCTTCTAAACTAAAAAAGGCAGCACTTGTCATTATAATGATAAGAATGGGAAATGTATCATTATGCTATGTTTGCAGTATTCTTTAACAATTGATTGTGACATCTTCACCCATGAGAAAGAATGGTGCCCAGTAATACGGTTCCCTGAAGCCGGGAAAGTTCCTCATTTCATTCATCGCTTGATGTAAACTTACACTCGCGCTCCTTCCGTTCATTAAATGAGTATAAAATTTATCCATGAACTCGAGTGTTGCTCTATCATTGATGGCCCACAAGGGCGCTACGACTGCACGAGCACCTGACGCTAGAAAGGCTCGACACATGCTATCTACTCCTTCAGCTCTGATTTCACCACGTCCACTGTGACAGCAGCTTAACACAACTAACTGTGCACGTACTTGAGCCTGCTGTACATCAGCCATGGTCAGCATGTAATCTTCTTCATCTGGGATCTTTGTTGCTCTTACCTCAGGAGAAGGTGCAAGTGCTATCGTACCTCTAGTGAGATTGCCGTGTGCAGCGATATGAACAACAGATACTGCTTGTTGTAGTCTCTGTAGGACATCCAGCTTTGTGGCTGCTTCGCCTATTAGTGGCCTAACACGAAGTTTATCAGCTATTACGATTGCTTCTGCTTGTGCACCTGGCAAACGTTCAATATCACATTCTACTCCATCCATCATTACCTTCCCAACTAAAGGATCACCAATAACCAAAGGCTTGGCATAGCTGGTTTGGTCTGTTGGGAAGTCTTCAAAGTGCTTTAAAGTTGCTAATGAAGGAGCAAGTCTAATGCGCTTTGTCTCTGATAAATACTTTCCCGTGCGAGGATCTCGTAAAGCGGGAAAAGGCACTTGGTATAAGGGACCTTCAAGAATAATAACAACCTCTTCTTTCTTCGACAATAGTATTTTATCACATCCTAAGATATCAAATAGATCTTCTAGAGTAGATCCCTTGGTTTCAGCACTATTCCCATTAGATTCTCCTCTGTTAGAATCGAGGTTAAGCAGTAATGCCGTTGCTTGATTAAGTTCCTCGTATTCTTCTTGGCTTCTTCTTTGTTCTTTTTGAATATCTTCTTCTTTGTCCAAGGACCTGTTCTCACAGTTGATTACCTCACGAACACCCATTTCGTTAAACAACCTATCGACGTCTATCTGTAGGGAATGATTAGGACAACTCGAAAAATGCAAATTTGTCTCCCCTTCAATAAAAAACCTCAGAAAAACATCAAAGCAAAGTGAGTAAGAGGCAATGCTGAAGTCATTTCTTGAGACCAGAGACAAAGCATCGCTGTACTCTAGGTGTTCATCATTGCTCTCCTTTTGTTCCATCTTGAAGTTCGAAATCATAAGATCTTTCAAGGCTCTTGCACGACAACGATCTAACACTAAAAGTGCTTCCTCGATCTTCTCGCCGCCGATTAACAGTATTGCCAACATCTTATAACTATGAATATATTGGTCAAATATGGAGATCTTGAATTCATCAAGACTACCAAGTGTGGTAAAGATCGCTTCAAAGCATCGTATAGCTTCTCTTAGATAATGTTCTGCTAAGTTCAGTTCTCTGTTCAAGGAATACAATAATTGACCAAAGCCATGATAGAATTGGGATAGGTGTCCATCAGTATCAGGACAAGACTCAGCAGTAGGTAGCCCTTCTTTAAAACTGTGTAAAGCCATGTCATTCTGACCCATCAAATGATACTGGTTTCCGTTTTGTGTGATACAGAACAAGTTCACAGAACGATCGATGTCCATCTCCTTCATCTGCTCAAGGCAATTGATTGTTTTTTCATAATCTTTTTTGACATTATACAAATTGTAAAGCCTAAATAAAAGTGTGCATTTCTTTGTTTTATCGCCTGTCTTCACCGCTTCGTCAACATCCTGTAGAAACTCATCTTCAGAACATGTTGGTACCTCTAATAATTCCTTTACTGAGAGTGCATCGACCTTCTCATACCAACCAACTCTGGTATAAAAAGTAGAACGAATTTCTTTTAATTTTTCTTCAGCTTCTTTGTTTCCAAGCTCTGTAGCAATCGCCAAGCCTGCATCTATACTCTGAGAAACTTCAGTCGACTGCCTCAAGTCATTATATGCTTGAGCGAGAATAACATGTCCTTCCATCTCAGTTTTTTTGTCGTCAATTTCTTGAGAGATGTCCAGGCATTTCTTACCGTATTGGATGGCATTATCGATGCTTTCCTTATCAACTGATGTTTGGTATACAGACGAAAGAACAAGACATGCTTGTGCTTCAATTATTTTCTCACCAGTTTTCTGTGCCACGTCGATGCATTCCTTGATGTATCGTGCTGCATCATCGTACTGTTCCAGTATAACATATGTATTTCCTAGACCCATATACGCTGCCATATCCGCTCTGTTTACGAGGCCAATACGGTTCACGATGTCTATACATTGCTTGTAATTCTGAATGGCTTCATCGTATTTCTTCAAAGACAGGTATACCTTTCCCAAAGTCAGATGCGCAATAGCGTGAGCACTTTTTTCTTTATTATCTTCCTTGTCAATGTGAAGACACTTGTTGCAGTTGGAAATGGCATCATCATATTTCTCCAAGGAACAATATATATCTCCAAGTTCGCCATAAGCAACAGCCTCCGCTCTCATTACGAGGCCAAAACGGTTCACGATGTCTATACATTGCTTGTAATTCTGAATGGCTTCATCGTATTTCTCCAAAGACCGGTATACCCTTCCCAAAGTCAGATGCGCAGTAACGTGAGCAGTTTTTTCTTCAATATCTTCCTTGTCAATGTGAACACACTTGTTGCAGTTGGAAATGGCATCATCGTATTTCTCCAAGGAATAATATATCTCTCCAAGTTCGCTATAAGCATGAGCCTCAGCACGTTTATCGCCAATAGTTTTTGCAAGCTCAATACACTTCTTGCAATAGATAATTGCATTGTCGTAGTCAGAAAGAGCGTAATGTATCTGCCCCATTAATAGGTAAGCCCTGACTTCACCACGTCTGTCTTCTATCTCTCTTGCTATTTCAATGCATTTCTGTCCAAAGTCAGTGGCATCTTGATAGTGATTCAAGGCAAGATGTGCTCTTCCTAGCTGTAAGTACACGTCCGTCATAGCCTTCTGATCGTTGTTTTTCAAGGCGCAATCGAGGAGCTTGTGCGCATACAGAATAGTGTCATCATATTTCTGCATGCTTGCATATGCGGTCATTATAAGGTTATATGCATTCATCTCGCCTTTAGCACTGTCAATTTCCTGGGCAATTTTAAGAATTTTTTTGCCACAGTCAATAGCATCATCATAACGAGCTAAAGATGAAAACCCATTTCCCAGCCTTAAGTACGCATTCATCATAGCCTCCTGATCGTTGATTTTCATGGTGCAATCAAGGAGCTTGTGCGCATACAGAATAGTGTCATCATATTTCTGCATGTCTGTATATGCGGTCATTATAAGGTTATATGCCATCATCATGCCTTCAGTACTATCAATTTCCTGGGCAATTGTAAGACACTTTTTGCCACAGTCAATAGCATCATCATAACGAGCTAAGGATGAAAGCCCATCTCCCAGCACAAAGTACGCATACATCATAGCCTCCTGATTGTTGTTTTTCAAGGCGCAATCAAGGAGCTTGTGCGCATACAGAATTAAATCATCATATTTCTCCATGCGTTTATATGCGACCATGATGCATTTATATGCTTTCATCTCGTCGTCAGCACTATCAATTTCCTGGGCAATTGTAAGAAATTTTTTGCCACAGTCAATAGCATCATCATAACGAGTTAAGGATGAAAACCCATCTGCTAGCATTAAGTACGCATTCATCATAGCCTCCTGATCGTTGTTTTTCAAGGCGCAATCGAGGAGCTTGTGCGCATAAGGAATAGTGTCATCATATTTCTGCATGTATTTATATGCGACTACTATGCGGTCATATGCCATCATCATGCCTTCAGTACTATCAATTTCTTGGGCAATTGTAAGACATTTTTTGCCACAGTCAATAGCATCATCATAACGAGCTAAGGACAAACATGCATTTCCCATTTCAAGATGTCCATACATTTCGCTTTCTTTTTCGCTTTTAGTTTGAGCAATTTCGATCCATTTCTCGGCGTGCAAGACGACGTTTTCAAACTCGTTGAGCTTCCTATATGTGAAGGACAAATATTTATGAACTTTTAACTCATCACTTGGTATTGCTTCAGCTAACGGTAATATTTCTTTCAGACGCCTCAGTGAATCAGCATGTCTACCTATGGTGTTGCTATGCTTTACGAACTGCTCGCAAGAATCTATCATGGTACTTATATCATTACAGTGTTTAGACATCTCTATGCATTCTTTGTACAGACAAATCAGCTGTTCAGTTGACAGTCCAAGTTCCTCTGGCAAACATGGAAGTTGACACACAGCAAAACCTTACAAAAGTAGAATTCTTGAACATATTCATCTTCAGCTTTACTTGTTATTCAACATTCATAAAAAATTAAACAAGAAATTGATAATTAAACAAGCACACACGAGAACGAAAAAAAGAATTTTTAAATATTGAAAATTGAAATCAAGTAAAACATTTCTGTATACATCAGTGGCAGATCCAGGAATTATAGGAGGGGGGTTACAAAGGTTTACCAGGAATACCAGGAAAAGAGTATCGATACCAAGGTCTATTGAGAATCGTCTAGATTGATGGATTGGGTTGGGTTAGGGTTTTTTATGAAGTTTTTATCCTAAACTTTATACTCATGATAGATCATGTTAAGATCATGATCTAGTGAAACATTTTGCTTCTTGTCTGTCCGTATACCAACAGTCAAACACACTAGTACCTCGTATTGACCGTCAATTATATGAGAATCAGTGTCGTGTGGTAAGAACATGATCTAGTGAAACATTTTGCTTCTTGTCTGTCCGTATACCAACAGTCAANAAACATTTTGCTTCTTGTCTGTCCGTATACCAACAGTCAAACACACTAGTACCTTGTATTGACCGTCAATTATATGAGAATCAGTGTCGTGTGGTTAAGAACATGATCTAGTAAAACATTTTGCTTCTTGTCTGTCCGTATACCAACAGTCAAACACACTAGTTTCTTGTATTGACCGTCAATTATATGAGAATCAGTGTCGTGTGGTTAAGAACATGATCTAGTGAAACATTTTGCTTCTTGTCTGTCCGTATACCAACAGTCAAACACACTAGTTCCTTGTATTATATGACCGTGAATCTTAGAGCCTGGACACTATAGCAAATCGAGCAATCTGATTGGATAGATCGCATCGCGGACTGGTCTAGATTTTCCGGTATTAACCGGTCCGATCGCATATTAATCTTACTGCGAAAATGTTTTGTCCTTTTCAATGAAAAGTGGTCATATAATGAAACTCTTATCAACCGAGCTTGGTCGGTCTGTACGGGATAATCTTGACCTCGGTCGGGTACAGACCTCGGTCAAGATTATCCCGTATAGACCTCCCGCTCGGTTAATAAGATTCAAATATTGACCGTCAATTATATGTCTCAAGGGAGTACAGCGAAATCATAAATGTCTTCAATGGA